ATCAAATTCGCATAAATCACAATCTCGCATTGATTTTAGTAATTTAGTTCTTGCATTAATAATTAGATAATTGAATCACAACTAAGTTATAGAAAAAAATCACAGATTTTCATAGTTTTGGTTAAAGCTTAGTTTCATTGAACTTGAACCAATACAATTTCCGTGGGGACGATACTTAGGACTCAAAATTAATTTTACTATTTATTAACGAATCGTGCACTTGTGGTATTACAAACGAAAGAAAATTTCGTAACATCCTACACGACATTAGAATTAACAATCACAAATTTAAAAATATATCCATTCAAAAATATCTCCACAAATATTTTCAATATCACAAAATTATATTCTTGTCACGTGACATATCTTTGACTACCTTAATTTTGTTCGCAATTTTGGAAGAAAGTTGTTGGTCACTCTTGAGTAATATAAACTTGGTACTTATTTGATAAAACTTTGCAAAAAGTTTATCAACTTTTCAATTGGTCAAACTTCAATTTTAACCAAAATATTTTATGAGATTTACAATTTTTAAAAATTTTTCAACCACATATTTTATCAATTTTTTATNTTATGAGATTTACAATTTTTAAAAATTTTTCAACCACATATTTTATCAATTTTTTATCAAAATCTGCTAAAATTTTTAAAGAATAGATCCTTACAAAATTCTAGGTCGAGTTCTAATCATAATCACACTCACATACCTTACACTTGACATTTTATTGAAAAATTTAACGGAAAATGTCCATCGAGACTTACATTGTAAGTGTAACTAAGGCTAGCCAAAAGAATCGGAACCGATTGAACCAGTATTGTAGATTCTTCTCTAATTAAATTTTAAATGATTTTGATTCAAGTCTGAGAATCGAGAATTGGCTCATACCCATTTTTTAAATATCAAGGTTGGTGAACATAGAAAAATTAACCCATTTTTTTACACCACAATAAACTAAGTAGTTACAAAATGTCAAAACACAAGGTCTTTTACTCTTCTTCAAACTTCAAAGCCCTAACTTGATCTTCCTGAGTTTGTTGTTTTACATTAAATGAGTCTTGTTGTTTTGATTTTGTATATGCGAAAATTTGCACTGAAAATTTGAAAATTTTTGTTATAGCACCAAACTTTATCCAGTCGATGCAGTGTTGGTTGTGTTCCATAATTATAGATTGAACCATCTCTATTATAAAATATTCATTGATTCTCTATTCGATAGAATTCGACCAAACTATTCTATTCGGTATTTGTCCAGTTCCATAATTACATATGGAATCAGTGGTTCCTGTATATGATAATTGATCAAACCGTACCATGTCCATCCCAGTGTAAAACTAAATGAAATTTAGATTACCAACTTGTAACTAAAACATTGACTTGAGGACCAACATTTCAATTTCAGTTTAATGAACTATATAGTCCCATATTGCATATGCAGAGCTTATAATTGCCTAAAAGTTGATCAAACTCTACTTCTACACAAACATTCCTATGTTGGCAACTTTTACTTACTATCCACACACTTTATAATACCTAATAAAAGCTTTGCCTAATATGTCATCTGGCACATAAAATCCATTTACTAAATTCAAGAATAAATATAATACACAACTAGAAACATCTCTATCAAAAACAACAGTTAGATAATTTATTTGTTAAAC